TTAAAAATAATAACGTTAATGGTAAAAGACATTGTACATGTAAAGGGGATTTAATGGAATGCTTGATGTTTGTTATCTTTTGTAAGTTTCGTTGTTTTTAATTAAATAAAAGAGACAAAAATGATGAAAGAACTTGTCAAAAGATACATTTTTCAACACGTCTAAATACATTTTGTGCATTAAAAAAAGCATGGCAATGTATTTTCCTTTACACATTACAACCAACCAGCAATTGGCCTGCCTCCTTATTACACAATGTATATATATACCTGAATCTCGAATCCCCCTCGACTTCCCACCTTGAACCACAGGGGATCAAAATTCGTTACAAATGTCTGAAATACACCATATGCTATGCTGATATGAATCACATCATTATGTGTGCTGTGACCCATATCAGTATAGCATATATGCATTTCAGACATTTGTAACGAACCCCTGTGATTGACCCGACTGACATGGAGAGTCATGTTGTGACAGACACGAACTGACAAAGTAGGCTACGCATACTTACTTTTAACCCACACATGCGCGTACATACACGTATCTCAGGCGGCTCTTCAGCATTGTCGTTGAAAATCATAGAAACTCTTCGTCTGCCCGGTTCTCTTTTGCACTGAAGTGACTAGACTTGCACAGGCCTAGCTTTCGTCACGGACTGATATTATATTAGATCTAATCTAATTCCGTGCTTTCATGAAGCCGACGGTGTTTTCTTGTTGAAAGAGTGACAAGCACATATTAAAATTAGTAGACCTTTGAGTCAAACATGAAACTTGGATGTGATGAGGTCAAAACTGGTAAAATTCACTCCAAACCCTTGTTGATTCCTCTCGCGTTCGGTATTGCAGGGTTCCCGGTGAAGTTTTCCGTTCTTGTCTTTTTCAAACAAACAGAATGTGGCAAATTGAAGCCCGCGATTTTCAAACCGCAAATATATTTATTGCGAAACATGATTCGTCAAAAACGTCGATAACTTTAATTTTTAAACCCGTTTTAAGGAAGAAACACTTCGAACCATAACGAATACGTTTGCAAAGTTCACGTAAATAAGATACGATTTGAAACATATTTTTTATTCCCACAGAGACGTTCAAAACGGTGACTGTTTACCTTCTGGTCTAAAAATAACCAATCAGAGAGTCGCAAATTGTAAAGTCCGTTCTGCACGATGTAAAGAAAAAAGATCGCATAGTATTGTAGTTTCGTTTTGTGTTACTATATATAGCTTTTTGCTTGAACTATAGATATTCCACGCGTACGTTACAAAAAGCGGTCGCTGCGCTCGCTATTACTAGGACTACAACACCCTGGACTTAGGAAATGTTCTTGCAGAATCGACGGAGCCATTACATCACTATGACACTTCAGAGAAAAGTGGTATATTTTAATGTTCTTCTTGTTTTTTACGGAGCGGTGAACAACTCGCACGGTTATTGCTGAGATGATGTTTCTTATCTAAAATACGGACATGGAATAGCACGATCAGGGAGGTTTAAATGTTATTATAAAAGCTTATTTTTCCACGTTTCACTGCCGAACAATGACCATTCATTATGTTTCACCAAGATATATCAAGCCATAGAGAACATACTCACTACCATATACAACATTAGAGGTTTAGCAATTCAGTATTCCAAAGCTTCTGGTATTATCATTCTTTTTTTGTTTGGTAGAAAACTGTTGTAATAATTGTACTGCAAGTCATATAGTTTTAAATTCCACACTTTGACATTAAAAGTTATCCTCTGACGTATCTTAAATGTTCTACACGTCAGAGTTGATAAAACTATCTCTGCTAGTCAGATTAGCGATTTTTCATTCTAGATAAATATCAGTTTACTTTTTCATCATAAAACTTTGTACCTTCACGATGTTTTCCATTTAGATGTAAGCATGAAACGTCATATTTCACAGAATAGCAAGGGTTGTTAGAAGATTGGTTTGGTTTGGTTTAGTATAGTTTAACGTCCTATCAACAGCTATGGTCATTTAACGAAGGCCTTCTCCGTGTGCAAAATGCATACGTGTAGTGTATGTGAGTGTGTTTTGGGAGGCTGCGATGTATTCGTGTTTGTCTTCTTGTGATAGCGCGGAACTGATGCCGACTTTATAGTGCTACCTCACTGAAACATACTGCTGAAGAAATCCAGCAGGACACCCCACCCAGTCACATTATATTGACAACGGACGAATCAGTCGTCCCACTCCTGAATTGTTGAGCGTTAAGCAGGAGTTGGAACTACCATTATTACAGACTCTGGCATGTCTCGGTTAGGGGATAGAAACTAAACCCTTCCTCACAGGGGCGGACGCTCAACTGAAGGCCGAAAGTGAAATATTGTCAAGGGAGACATTAGGAAGAAGAAAGTGGTTTAGAAAGAAGAGAAAAGATAAGATCCCAAATGTTAGAAGAAGATTTATCAGAGATACAATCAAGAACTTCTCTGTGCTTCCATTCCTAAGTTATGTTGCCGGTTAGGTTTTATCGTTGCTGATACGGTAAGATTGTAAAGTTGCTTATCAAGGTTCAACAAGCCCTCTAGCAGAGGCTATATTCACCCTAAATTGCAACCCCATGATAGGCCATATTCAAAGACACCAATTAAAAATTGAAACTAATATATGTAATTTAAATATATTGGACTTGTACATTATTTATCAAAATGCTCCATAGCGATATTAACATAGTCGAAGCCCAACTTAATGCTATGAAATGACATATCATATAAAGCTCAATTATACAGCGAGGTCATGCGGAGCTTAATTGCTCTTCAACTAGCTATAGAGAGGCATGCCAGCCTCAAAAGTATATGATAATGGCTATGGCAATGCACAAAAATCATAGTAAAATGCCCGATTGACATATTTTACCGGAATATCTATATAAAACCAAGGGCCCGGTGACCGTAATGAACACATACACTTTATATAAAGTGCCCTTTCGTAACATTGAATGCTTTTATGAAAATGCTACACATGTCGTGAACATTAAAGTTATTTTCAGTTCCAATGTTTATAACATGTTTAACGCAAATCATAACATCACAAACAGTAATGAAATGGCACGTCATCTCAAGTTCATTATTATAGGTAAAGTAACATTTGTTTTCTTGTTCATAATCTTCTAAAATATATTACCAGCGAATTTTACTATGATTTTTGTCGTTTCACAAGGAAACACCTGTCTTATTTTGAGGCTAGTAAGCCTCTCTACAGCTAGTAAAAGAGAAAGGGATTGAAATTTAGGATGACTATAGCCCTCTTTCAGGGGGCTTGTTTAACCTTAAGTTAAATTGTGTTGTTATGTGGTAAGATTGGAGTTGTTTATGTCGTAAGACTGTAAATTTGATGGTGGGATTATTGTCATTTTATTTAAGTGGTAAGACTTAAAATGTGTAGTAGAATTGGTTTGTGTGGTAAGACTGTTATGTTTTGTCGTAAGACTGTAAATTTTTGTGTGGTTAGACTGTTATGTTTGTGTGGTAAGACTGGTATGTTTGTTTGGTAGGATTTTGATGTTTGGGTGATAATACTGTTATGTTTGTGTGGTAAGACTGTTATGTTTGTTCGGTAGGATTTTGATGTTTGCGTGGTTATACTGTTATGTTTGTGTGGTAAGAATGTTATGTTTGCGTGGTAAGACTGTTATGTTTGTGTGGTAATACTGTTATGTTTGTGTGGTAAAACTGCTATGCTTGTGTGGTAAGACTTTCATTTTTGTGTGGTTAGACTGTTATGTTTGTGTGGTAAGACTGGTATGTTTGTTTGGTAGGATTTTGATGTTTGGGTGATAATACTGTTATGTTTGTGTGGTAAGACTGTTATGTTTGCGTGGTAATACTGTTATGTTTGTGTGGTAATACTGTTATGTTTGTGTGGTAAGACTTTCATTTTTGTGTGGTTAGACTGTTATGTTTGTTTGGTAGGATTTTGATGTTTGGGTGATAATTCTGTTATGTTTGTGTGGTAAGACTGTTATGTTTGTTTGGTAGGATTTTGATGTTTGGGTGGTAATACTGTTATGTTTGTGTGGTAAGACTGTTATGTTTGCGTGGTAAGACTGTTATGTTTGTGTGGTAATACTGTTATGTTTGTGTGGTAAGACTGCTATGTTTACGTGGTAAGACTTTCATTTTTGTGTGGTTAGACTGTTATGTTTGTTTGGTAGGATTTTGATGTTGGGTGGTTATACTGTTATGTTTGTGTGGTAAGTCTGTTATGTTTGCGTGGTAAGACTGTTATGTTTGCGTGGTAAGACTGTTACGATTGTGTGGTAAGACTAACGTTTGTGTTGTTAGGCTTACGTTTGTGTGGTAAGACTACGTTTGTTTGGTAAGACTGTTACGTTTGTGTGGTAAAACTGTTTCGTTTGTGTGGAAAGACTTCCGTTTGTGTGGTAAGACTGTTATGTTTGTGTGGTAAGACTGTTATGTTTACGTGGTAAGACTGTTATGTTTGTGTGGTATGACTGTTATGTTTGTTTGGTAGGATTTTGATGTTGGGTGGTTATACTGTTATGTTTGTGTGGTAAGACTGTTATGTTTGCGTGGTAAGACTGTTACGATTGTGTGGTAAGACTAACGTTTGTGTTGTTAGGCTTACGTTTGTGTGGTAAGACTTACGTTTGTTTGGTAAGACTGTTACGTTTGTGTGGTAAAACTGTTTCGTTTGTGTGGAAAGACTTCCGTTTGTGTGGTAAGACTGTTATGTTTGTGTGGTAAGACTGTTACAATTGTCTGGTAAGACTAACGTTTGTGTTGTAAGGCTAACGTTTGTGTGGTAAGACTGTTATGTTTGTGTGGTAAGACTGTTATGTTTGTGTAGTAAGACTTCCGTTTGTGTGGTAAGAATGTTATGTTTGCGTGGCAAGACTGTAACGTTTGTGTGGTAAGACTTGTGTTAATGTTGTACATATACACCTGGAATGCCGTTTATGTGTTAAGACTATGACGAATGGCGGATTATCAATACACCAATGATAACAAACGCAGCATTAAGCTTAGAAAAATTAAGGTTTTATCACAAAAGTGTAAATTACAAAGGTATAGCAAATAAAAAAACAGCACAGCCAATATTACAAATCACAGTCAATTGCTTTTGCATAACGTGTATCCCTGGTTACCACTTCAAGATCGGTACATAACTACAAGTCTTAATCAAACTGGAATTCTTGTTTACTGTTTATGGGATTTGTTTTCACTGCCCATCGGTGTTGTACAAACGATATTTCATGCGTCTTACATGTTTGGTGTTCGTAATTAAATTGTGTAAATGACAATGTGATTATTTGACTTCAGCTGTAGTCTTTTTCAATTTATAAAATAGGCCAAATGGCTAAACAAAACTCAGTTAATTATTTTCTCACAAACACATTTTTAAAAAGAAAGAAGAGAAAAAAAATATTTTTTTCTATCTTAGTGTGATTTGTTGAAATAAAACCTGTGTTTTGTGTTAATATCGATAAACCAAAGATGTTGCCTTTAGTTGCTATAGAGTGTACCTATTTAAAAACATAAATTTAAAAGTGAATTATTCCACTGGAGTATATTATTTGGAAAAATTTGGTAATAATAATAATAATAAATAATAATAATAATAAAAGACTTTATCTATACTCGATAATAACATGTTGAGTCACAGACTCTTCTCACACTTGGCCGAGAACATATATATAAGTATGTATAATCCCGTTAGGAGCCTGTTTTTTTTCTATCTATGTGAGTACATGTATATCAATACGAAACAATTTTAAAATATAATAAATTATAAGGATTTAATATTTATACAAGTCGAATGTTAATGTCATTCCCCTGGAACATCTTGGTCTATAGGACGCTTTTATTAGTTCGTTCTGTAATACTCATACAAGTCCAATGTAAATGTCATCCTCCCGGGACATCTTGGTCTATAGGACGCTTTTATTAGTTCGCTCTGTAATCCAATGTAAATGTTGTAATCCTCCTAGAACATCGTGGTCTATAGGAAGCTTGTATTAGTTCGCTCTGTAATACTCATACCAGTCCAATTGAAACGTCATTCTCCTTGACATCTTGGTCTATAGGACGCTTGTATTAGTTTGCTCTGTAATACTCATACAAGTCGAATGTAAATGTCATCATCCTGGTGTTCCTTGCTCTGTAGGACGCTTGTAATAGTTTTCTCTGATTGAGCCATTATTAGTGTTGTGGATCTGGAGGGTTTGCTGTTTTTATATCTGTTCATTTCGCGACTACAAGCATCCGAATTAAGCAAACGGAATACAGTCGTAAAAATAAGACTTGAATTATTCGGGACAACTCACAAGCATAATTTAAAACCCTTTATCATTTGAACAATAATTAGTGTTGATATAATACGTTGATTGCTATCGTTAAGGTCAAGAATCATGAAATGGACACCATTCACACGCATTAAAGACAGACAGTCCAATACCAAGGTATATTGAAATTCTGAGTGAATGGCGCCATCTTCAAATCGGGATGAAAGTGGGCAAGGCAAGACTTTATATACACGGCCAGCCAGATCGACATTTTAGACAAAGGTCTGCTCGGTGTGGCTTTTCTTGTTTCTCGTCGTCGGAGTCGGAGTCGTTGAAATCGACGTAACACATACCCTGACATTCTCTAGCAGGCTTACCACACTTAGGACACTTCACGTCTTCTACTCTGTACGGGTTACATGCTGTCTTGCATTCCTTGCATTTTTGTTTGTAGTATACCTGGGAATGAAACATTCGATCAGTTATGAAATATCTGAGAAAAAACACACGGAAATAAATTACCATTTTCCACTTATTGTCATGTTTGAATCCAACCATCTTATCAAAGGTAGTTAATAAAAGTCACAATAAACCTCCGTCTTACTAGTTAATAATAGACAGCAAACATCCGTCTTACAAGTTAATAATAGACAGCCAACATCCGTCTTTCTAGTAAATAAAACTCAAAGTAAACGTCCGTCTTACAAGTTTATAAAAGTCCAGTAAACATCCATCTTATTAGTAAAATAAGTCTCAGTAAACATCCATCTTACAAGTTAATAAAAGTCACAGAACAAAATCCATTTTACTGGTTTAAAAAAGTCACAGTACACATCCGTCTAACAAGTTAATGAAAGTCAGAGTGAACATACGTCTTACTATTTATTAAAAATCACAGTAAACATCCGTCTTACTAGTTAATGAGAGTCAAAATAATCATCCGTCTTACTAATTAATAGAAGGCACAGTAAACATCCGCCTTACTAGTTAAAAAAACGACACAATAAACATCCGTCTCACTTTGTAATAAAAATCACAGTAAACATCCGTCTTACAACTTAATAAAGGTCACAGTAATCATACGTCTTACTATTTAATAAAAGTCACAGTATATATCCTTCTTATGAATAAAAATCACATTAAATATTCGTCTAACTAGTTAATCAAAGTCACAATAAACATTCGTCTTACTAGTTAATAAAAGTCACAGTAAACATTCGTCTAACTAGCTAATAAAAGTCACAGTAAACATTCGTCTAACTAGCTAATAAAAGTCACAGTAAACATTCGACTTACTAGTTAATAAAAGTCATTGTAAACATTCGTCTTACCAGTAAATAAAAGTCACAGTAAACATTCGTCTAACTAGCTAATAAAAGTCACAGTAAACATTCGACTTTTATTAACTAGTAAGTCGAATGTTTACTGTGACTTTTATTAGCTAGTTAGACGAATGTTTACTCTGCCTTTTATTAACTAGTAAGACGAATGTTTATTGCAATAAACATTCGTCTTACTAGTTAATAAAAGGCAGAGTAAACATTCGTCTAACTAGCTAATAAAAGTCACAGTAAACATTCGACTTTTATTAACTAGTAAGTCGAATGTTTACTTTGACTTTTATTACCTAGTTAGACGAATGTTTACTGTGACTTTTATTAACTAGTAAGACGAATGTTTATTGCAATAAACATTCGTCTTACTAGTTAATAAAAGGCAGAGTAAACATTCGTCTAACTAGCTAATAAAAGTCACAGTAAACATTCGACTTATTAGTTAATAAAAGTCACAGCAAACATCCGTCTTACTATTTTTTATAAAAGTCATAGTAAACATCCGTCTTTCAAGTTATTAAAACTCACAGTAAACATCCGTCTTACTATTTAATACTTACTATCTACTGATACTCTGTAGTTAGACTTACATTTTATGTACCTTTCATTGTCTGTGTCTACTGCTACTATGTAGTTAGACTTACTTTGAATGTACCTTTAATTGTCTGTGTCTACTGATACTCTGTAGTAAGACTTACCTTCA